ATTCGTCGGTAATGTTTAGAGACAAAACGAGTAAGCAGCGAAAAATAAAACAGGGGGTTCCTCAGGGTGATGTCCTTTCCCCGCTACTGTTTAACTTTTACATTTCAAAGCTCCCTCAACCACCAGAGGGAGTCTCGATTGTCTCCTACGCCGACGATTGCTCGATCATGGCGACTGGGAATGGAATTGATGACCTGTGTTCGAAAGTAAACGGCTATCTCTCCGAACTTTCTCGCTTCTTCACTGCAAAGTATCTAGCCCTCTCCCCTACGAAATCCTCCGCGACCCTGTTCACAACCTGGACGAAGGAGGTCAGGCTACCGCTGGGGATTCACGTCGATGACACACCAATTCCGACGGTGAATAACCCCAAAATACTCGGAGTAACATTCGACAGCCTGCTCTCCTTCTCTGCGCACTCAACCGCTATTGTCAATAAAGTACAGAGCCGCAACAAGGTCCTCAATTTTCGCTAGCCGGCAGTACTTGGGGCAAAGACAAAGAAACGTTGCTGGCAACATACAAGGCAATAGGCCAGCCCGGTTTTGAACTACGGAGCGCCAGTGTGGTCGCCAGGGACTAGTAGGACGCAGCGGACGAAGCTACAGACGGTACAAAATACAGCACTTAGGACAGCGACGGGATGCCTCTTGATGTCGCCTGAACACCACCTGCACGGCGAGGCGCAAATGCTCCCTGTAAGGCAGCATAATATAATGCTCTGCAAGCAGTTCCTGATCGGGAGCCACAGAAGTGGCCACCCAAGCAGACAGCTGCTTGCAGAGGAGCCCTCGCCTAGGCACGTCAGGAGGCATCTATATGAACTGACGGACGAAGTCCAGAGGTTCATTAAGCAACCTCTGGACCCGACAGCTTACAGACAGGCCCTGAACGGCATTCACAGGGACTCAGTCTCAAGTTATGTAGACTCTAGACCTGTGAATGCCGTTCTAGGCATACCACCCCCGGACATAGACGAGACGGAGCTTCATCTGCCTCGGGAGACACGCACAACACTCGCTCAACTTCGCTCCGGCTACTGCAGCAGGTTGAACTCCTACTTGAGTAGGCTGAATGAGGATGTGCCGAATGAGTGTCCGGCATGCGGAGAGACCCCACACGACTCGAAACATCTCTTCGCATGCCCGGAAAACCTGACAACCCTAACGGCCTTGTCCCTGTGGACAAACCCCACAGAAGCTGCACGCTTCCTAGGGTTGCCGTTAGTGGAACTTGACGACAACGACTGAGATACCAACCGATCTGGGAGGGGTTGTTGTAGCCGCTACAACAACAACAACAACATATATATTATTTAGAAAGTCCAAGTAATATTATTAACCATTTAAAAGTTATGAACAAAAAACTTTTGTTAAATTTCGTTGTTTTCTATGGGCAATTACACCGACAAAGATTCACTAAATCACCTGTTCTCACTTTTTAAACACTAGCTATTTTGGAATCTCGCGTTTCAGTTCGCAAAGATTGTCAACTTCTTTTTAATAACAAAATAATCGGTAATTCTCTAGTGTCGGGTAACAACCCCTAAAAAAGGTCCGGAAAAGTCGGGAGGGGTACCAAACGACGCGTTTCGGTCCCCCTATTAACAATCCAGAGGGGGAAGGATAATATTATTAACCATTTAAAAGTTATGAACAAAAAACTTTTGTTAAATTTCGTTGTTTTCTATGGGCAATTACACCGACAAAGATTCACTAAATCACCTGTTCTCACTTTTTAAACACTATTAAAATATATAATTTAACTTATTTATTAAACAAACAGTTTTATCAACCTAAGATAGATTATTTTGTTATTAAAAAGAAGTTGACAATCTTTGCGAACTGAAACGCGAGATTCCAAAATAGCTATAGTGCTGCCACTGTATTAGTATTTCGTAATAATTCACTTTTCCTTATAAGGTGTGTGCACTGTTCAATGCTTTTCGGTATCTTCTTTCGTTTAATATATATATAAATAATGAAAATTTTTAATAAAAAATCGCGCGATTTTTTATTAACAATTTTCGCATGCGGCGCTTTTTCCATAAAAATCAATACTTCGATAAATAATGAAAATTTGCAATAAATAACCGCACTTTTGGCACTCCATGACGCTTACTTTTAATTACAGCTAAAATAACTGTAAACCATAAAAGTAGCGCTGCCATGGTATACCGAAACTTGCTATTATATTTTGGTTAGAATATCTTATTTAGGTGAAAGTAAAAAAAGAAGAAGAAGAACAAGTGTATAGTGTAAACTGAGTATAATAGCGCAAATGAAATGTGAAATAAAGTGGCAATACCAGCGATTTGAGGTTATAATAATTTTGGCAGGCGCAAAGTTTGTTTACTCTGTTTTATTAACGAAATATATAAAATAAAAGTGAATAAATGATTTGGTTTGCATAAAATAATAACCGGAGACGTTTTAAGTGTTTTAAAATGTAAACTGGTTATTTAGTGCATTTTTGACGTGGTAACAAACAACCAAATTTAACAAAAGTTTTTTGTTCATAACTTTTAAATGGTTAATAATATTAGAACCCCTCCCCCCCTCCCGACTTTTCCGGACCTTTTTTAGGGGTTGTTACCTTACACTAGAGAATTACCAAATAATCTATCTTAGGTTGATAAAACTATGGGCTGGTGGTAAAAGTGCACTTTAGCGAAGGTAGGTCAAAATGACGGAAAAAGTTCGAGAGGGGTATCAATCGACGCGTCTTATCGCCAATAATAACAATCCGAGACAGAAAATTAAGATTTTTAATTCATTGAAAAGTTATTTGCAAAAAACACTTGCACTTTCCGCACTATGTTTCGATGAATTTCACACAAATGAAAGGAAGAAATGAACTTAATTTAACACGTGTTTATTAGTTTTTATACATTTGTGACGTTTTAAGTGTACACTTTCGCGAAATTCTGTATTTAATAGCAATATTCCGATGAAAATCCGCACAACAATCTTGGGTAGTTAATATAAATAACATGGAGAAAAACTAGTGTTGCCACTCTATTAAAAATAAAATGGACCTAAATTGCTGCTGTCACTCTATTAAAAATGTTTTTGTGCATCGAACACCTTTCTGCGTAGGCGGCCTTCGGCCGCGCTTAGGGATTATAACCCTCAGGCAGTAGAATTCTCCTTTCTGTGTTCCAAAGGGGGGCTGAACACCTTTTGCAGGAAACACCTTTCTGCGTAGGCGGAAAGTGCAAGTGTTTTTTGCAAATAACTTTTCAATTAATTAAAAATCTTAATTTCCTGTCTCGGGTTGTTATTATTGTCGTTAAGACGCGTCGATTGATACCACTCTCGAACTTTTTCCGTCAATTTTGACCTACCTTCGCTAAAGTGCACTACTACCCCAAAAACTTGAATTCAACAGAAATGAAACGTGTAAAAGCAAATAGAAAACACAAAAGAGAATGAGCAAGAACTACTTTCAAGTACTTGTATCATGTAAATCGGGTGTAAGCCTATGCTTTACACAGCCTGTTCTTGACTAATACTAGGTTCACATATAAGTAGATTATCCTCATTTTCGAGCTTAACACCCTAATCTGTAATTATAACAAGAGATTAGCCATATAAAATTCGTCCCTTGTTAATCTGTAATTATAAAATAATCTCAGATTTAACCGATAACTTTTCGGTGTCCATCCTAGTTTTATCGATTGTTTTTGCGAAAGAGAGGAGAAATGCCAAATGTAAAAGTAAACAAAAATGTACGCTAGCAAGTAAAAGAGGTTTGTAAAGGTATTTTTAATAAAATGTTAAGTTAAAATATATTTATATTGCTTATTATAGCAGAAAAACGTGATCACGGTGGCACAGAGAAGAAACATAACTTTTCCTTGAGATGTGAGAATAACAAGCACAACAAATTTGACGGCTAATAATCTGAGATTTGCCTGTGTAAACGGGGTGATTAAAAAACGAGCTTTGATTGAGATAATATTGATATGTGAACATAGTTTAAAACTATGTTCACATATCAATATTATCTCAATCAAAGCTCGTTTTTTAATCACCCCGTTTACACAGGCAAATCTCAGATTATTAGCCGTCAAATTTGTTGTGCTTGTTATTCTCACATCTCAAAGAAGTTATGTTTCTTCTCTGTGCCACCGTGATCACGTTTTTCTGCTATAATAAGCAATATAAATATATTTTAACTTACCATTTTATTAAAAATACCTTTACAAACCTCTTTTACTTGCTAGCGTTCATTTTTGTTTACATTTACATTTGGCATTTCTCCTCTTTCGCAAAAACAATCGATAAAACTAGGATGGACACCGAAAAGTTATCGGCTGAATCTGAGATTATTTTATAATTACAAGGGACGAATTTTATATGGCTAATCTCTTGTTATAATTACAGATTAGGCTGTTAAGATCGAAAATGAGGATAATCTACTTATATGTGAACCTAGTATAAGTGATGAAACTTGGCTTAACTAAGTTAAGTTGAGTTGGAGAAACCAGCCATATGTGTTTGTTTAGTAATTAAGTTTGGCCCCCTCCCGACTTTTCCAGACCTTTTTAAGGGTTGTTACCCTATACTAGAGAATTACGTACACATTTTATATATCAGCTTGAAGACAAATTATTTTGGCTTTATTTTGACATCATTACCTTTTGAATCGGTTACGCGTTTTAGAAAATATTAATATTTAAATATATCACAATTTTTTTGTTTTACCTTTTATATCTACTTAATTTTTTAATTGCGGCCAATAATATTTATTTAGTTAAAATCAGCGTAAAAAGTACTAGTAATGTGCATTTTTAGTTTTTCTATAGCTGAACGGCTGCTTACAGAGACCTTAATTAATAGTCCAGTTAATTTACGTGAGAGTACAAAATTTCGTATCCCTTAACTCATCTTCCTGACGCGAAACGATTTCGGAAAATAGGTATCAGCTCTTACAGGAATGCGAGTTAAGGTTATGGTATTCTAAGAGATAATGTTTTGTTTATCTACATCACTTACCAGTTATTCAATATATTTATTAAAATAAACCATTTTAGTACATACTAAAACGGTGCAGTTTTCGCTTTCCATGTTGGTCGGTTATTATACACATGGAGGTCTACTTATGTATGTTTGCTAATTTATCATTATTTAGCTTACCAAAGTAAAGCGAGTCAAATATACTCGCCTTTCAAAATAAATATTTTTAAATACCTTGATTCCATGTTAAAAGCAAGGGGAATCAATACTTACAAGCTTTCACTGATTACAAAAATACTGTACTCTATATGTGAGAATAACAATCCAGTATGTTTAAGAGCTAAAAAAGCAAATCCTTTGCTATCCTATAAAAATTATATTCCGATACTAACAAAGCTATTGTTCCGTAGACAGAGGAATAGAGCAGTATGTATTCGTTACTAACGGGTACAAACCCCAACTCGAAGTACCGAATCGTTACTCACATAATAAACTCGTTACTCGCATTTTCCGTATATGCACCATTAAAACGATGTTTCCACACTAAGTGATTCGCTCTCTCATTCGTAATTCGCTCTCCCATACGTGATTGGCGCACTAATCACGAGCCGAATCACGTAATTCGCCATACAAAAGTTTGAGACCAAACCACTTCATTTGTAAGTGATTCAGATATAAGTTCTGATCCAATACTTTTCCTGAAAAATCCTGTAAAACTGTCAAACAGCAAAATTACGCTCTGAAGTGAGCGAAAAAGTGAGTAACAACAAAAAGTACGGTAACAAAAAAACCATTTTTCCTGTAAAAACGTCAACCAGTGATTGCTTGACACTTTTGATGATTTTACCAGAAGAAAAAGTTCGGATAAAATCTTGCAACTTCATTCTCTACACAACTCTCCAAAAGTCGCTCTCATTTACCGCAGAACTCCACAGGCGAACACCGATGGCCTACCAACTGTCATTTTGATGAGCAATGTGATTGCAAGTTTTTGTGTGTGGGCACGTTGATGTCTTGAAATAAGCATTTGTCGCATGACGTCACCAGACAACATTCTCTCAATTTCAATGTTTAAAAACATTTAAATCTTTAAAAAACTTGCTGAATAATTTCCTACAACGTAATCATAAATAATCCTATAGGGAACAGATTTTTGTCTTAATTTAATATCAAAATTTCATCGATGTTACCACCAGCACGCTTTCTTTCAAATGAAAACTATCGAATTGCCTGCAGTAGATGTCAAGCAATAAGCGCTGACATATATTGCAGCACATGATAAATAGGCGGTCTCCATTGGAAATATATTTTGTGATATGGTTATCACGACATCAGTGTTTTCCTGTGGAGACGGGGCCTTACAGGATATTGGAGGATTTGGTAGTAAGGAAAAATTTTCCTGCAACTTCCTGCAAGTTCGTGTAAAATCCTGTAAGTTCATGGAGTACTGGATCAGAGCTATAATCACCATGCGAATCACGAAGAAATTGTTGTCTTCTCTAACTTTTAACGAGAACGGCTGTCAAAACACAACTCCACCAGCACAAACATTGAAAAGTAGCTAGATTCGTAAAAACTATTGATTTAGTTATTGTTACGATTATCCTTGAAACCTCGTCCGGATTTCCCAAATCTCTCGGCTCGTATCGCTGGATTGTAAAATAAATGCAATCTATGACCAAATTGTAGTACAATTAACTTTATTGTACAACAAACAATTTTACAATACTTGCTAATACAGTAAAAACACTACAATACTTGTTAAAGCAATTACAACGCTTTACTAAACTTGTTACACACAATTAAACTTATAGCTTGCTTATTCGCAACTCGCTTTTCTGCTCACTTTACTTGTAGCTTGCTGACTTGTAACTCACTCACCTCGCGGTGGCGGCGCCCTTATATACCTGCGCTGGCACTTATGGCAACTCTAGAACATTCTGAAGTTTATCGCTCATTCTCTTTCTCTCGCTGTTCGCAGTGTTCATCCAACTTGACGTTTCTCTTTGTGGAACATTCTACGTCATTCTTCGAACATTCTGCCTATTTCTCGTTGTTCGCTTTGTGTTGCCGCAGAATTCGCCACACTGCCCTCCACCTAAGTCTGATCGTCCCGATCAGACACACTTGCGGTACCAAACGCTGCAAGCCTTTCCAAGTGGACCACCTTCATCTTGTTTCTTGGTCTCCCAACGGTCTGGATCCGATACAATACGTCATTTAGCCGTTTTACGACCTTATACGGACCTTCCCAGTTGCATTGTAGTTTTGGGGACAAACCTTTCTTTCGTTGTGGATTGTACAGCAACACCAAATCTCGTTCCTGGAAACCCTCGGAATTCATCGCCTTATCATACCTGGCTTTCATCTTGTCACTCATAATTTGTGTGCGCTGTCTCACAAGAGCATGTATCTCTCTCAGCTCCTCTTCCAGGA